AAATAATTAATAGCTGGTTTAAACAATGATGTCGCTGAGATTAGGTGAGTTGGATTTGTGGTGGTCGTTACGAGAGATTAAGACGATGTATTCGATTCTTTATTTGTTAAAGTATTATATAATACGGTTAATGGGGTGATTTAAGTGTTAATTATTTTGATATCGTTTAAGTAAAGTTCGAGTTCGAGGCCTTATATATGTAGAAAATTCCTGTTGAAAGACTTATCTATCAAAATTAGGTGTACAACGCGGATCGATCCAGATTAACCATGACGAAACCTTGAAACTGAAGGAATAAAATATTATATAATATAGGGACTAAAGATAAAAAAAATACAAGAAAAAAATAAAGAATATATGAACGGTCTTAAGTGAATTGGGGTTTGAGATTCTTTTAAGAATTTATCAATCATATTCACAATATTAAATTAATAAGATGAAAATTTTACAGGTGTGCTTATTTTTCAAAAAAAAATATTTTCAATAATTTTAAATGTTTAACTTAAAGTAAAACAAATTCTGTTAAAGAAGAAAAATATATATTTTTAAGAGATAATTACATCATATGTCCCAAGATTATAACTCTTATTTAAATTGGTTCTTAAACTTTTAAAGCTTCTAATTTTATCCCAAAACTATGACTCTCATTCTAAATTAGTCCTTAAACTTTTAAACATTCTAATTTCATCCCTAAACCATTACCCTCTTTCTAAATTAATCCCCAAACTTTTAAATATTCCAATTTCATCCCCATTTTTATCCAAATATATAATTAGTATAAACCATAATTTAACCTACAATTTGTTCTCTTTTCAAATATATAACAATATAACTTGACCTAACAATTTTATTAACAAGAGAAATGACATCAAACTCATTGTTACCGAGCCGGTTTGTGTTGATACACTTCAATAGCATGATCATTCATTTGGAACCATCATTTATTTTCCCAATATTGAATGCCAAGCAACGACATCAACAGCTTTTAAAAGTCCTTATAAAAGCCATTGTAAAGACGTCCAAAATTCAAACTCAGAGGCAACTGTAGAAAAAAAGAGAAATGACTACACTCCATCTTAAAAAGAAAACAGTAGATACCGACTGCTATAACCAGTACCGATAATTCTGATTTAAAACCTTAAATCCGCTTTCTCAAGTTCGAGTTCAAGTTTCCATAATCCTACCTAAGGGGAAGAGCTAATTAGCTAGGACAGTAAAACCTGCTACAAAGACAATATTCATGATCCAATGCTGCTTAGACAAAACATTCAACTTCTAAGACATTCAAGTCTTAATGAAAGGGAAAAGAAATTAAATTTATCAAGAATCCTTTAAAGGTCATACATCATGAAAATTGAATTTACCATTATTATATGCTGCGTAATACAGCATAGCATGGCCCCAGTTTGCATGCCTCCTTTTTTAAGTTCAAACGATTTAGAGAGATACAACTAGGAATGGCAAACGGGCGGGTCGAGTGCGGATACCCCCTCCCCTATCCCCATAACCACCTAATATTTTCAAATCTACCACTCGCCCACCACCCATGATGTGTAAAAATTTTCAAATCCATATCCGCCCACACGGGTACATTCTCAAATACATCCCCACACCCACTACCCAACTAGAAACGTATCCGACTATACCCGCCTGACGACAACCTTAAGTTATACATAAACAACAAACATAAAACAAACACATCTATTAAGAAACATAATAAAAGAAACCAAGGATTATCTGAGTTAAGTGTTAACATAGATCTTAAAGCACATAAAACACCATAATAAAAGACATAATTAAAGCCTAAAACCTAGAAACATAAATGACAAACACATAATATTTTTTGTTCTTTGGCACACATAAATGACAAACCATAAAATTATACCTAAATTTATAATGGTCTAAAATTTAATGGGTATTCAGTGGGCAAGTGGATGTGGGGCAGGTAAGGTCTCAAACCCATCACCCGCCCACTACCCGCGACGGGTACCACTTTCTAAATCCACACCCGCCCACTATCCACTAAAGTTATACTCATCCCCTTCCCAATTGGAGCGGGTACGGTGCGGAATCTACGAAATTATACCCGTTTGCCTTCCCTAGATACAGCTGAGCTACTATATGCAATGATATGCAGTAATAGACACATTAACAGTTGGCTCTAAATTACTCCAAATTTCTACCATCGACGTGAACTAATGGACTCAATTACTGGCACAAATATCTGGTATACAGCTTTGTTCCATAGAAGAGCAAACTCCGAGCGAGATTTCTTTCCAAATATCTTCTCCTTCATCTGTAAGAAAAATAAAGTAAACCAGAAATTTAATACCAAGCAATGCAAATGATGAAACAAAGTCTTACTTGTAAATGTCAAATCTACTTTGTATAGAAATTTTAGATAATAAGCGCTTGGGTACGTGTGTAATTCAATTTGTACCAAAAAAAAAGAAAAAGAAAAAAATCCCATTTCTTTCAAATTATTGTATTCCCATTTCCTATAATTCCACTTGAGATATATTCCAAAACCACATGGGTAAGTCTCATGCCTAGAACCTAAGGTTTTTTACTTTCTTCATTAGAGGTCATGTAGATAGCACAATTTTTTTATAAGAAAATTGGTGTTCAAAAGGGTGACATATTGTCGATGATATTTAATTGTATCAGTCACTAAAAAACAGCAACAAAAAGAAGAGGAAGCCTAAGGACTGTGGAAGTAACCAAAATGTCTCCAGCAATTGCATTCTCCTTCATATGAAACCATTAACTAGATTGTTCATAACATCTTAGATGAGACTACTGTGCTTTCTATTGTAAAGATACAACGCTGTAACACTAGAAATTTATGCAATTAGAACTGTTGATAACTATACCCAGACGGTTTAAGTTTGTTCATTTCTTATGCAAAGCTAGGGAATCAGATCAACAAATTCAATCATTAATTTTTAAACCATGGACAGATACTAAGAAGACTCTGATGTTCATATGTTAAAGAATGTGATAATATTGCCAAACTTCAAAAGGTGAAGAGTGTGATAATATGTCAAACTTCAGAAGGTGAAGAATGTGATAATATGCCCAACTTCAAAAGTTGAAGAATGTGATAATATGTTAAACTTCAAGTGTTAAAGGATGTGATAATATACCTCAATCTCTCTACATCTAAAACCCTAAAAAATTTATACCAGAACACAAGATTCTTGTCATCAACCTCAATTCTTAGGAAGAACAATATATAGAAGAAAGCTAAAAGAAGTTTATAAGAAATTCCGGAAATGAAGGGGGGGGGGGAGGTGGAGGGGGAAGCCATTTTCCTTGAATCTAGTTTTCTCATTACACATTTGATTTTTTATTTGCATTTTCCCTCCTTCCCTGAATCCAGTCAAATTCCAATCTTTAATCACTTGAACTACTGCACTAGGATTTCAGTATACTTTGCACCCACATTTAGTAAGACATAATTACTAGTTCTACAAAAACCATCTGCCATTAGCTTAAGCTATTATCGAGCCAGACATGATGGAGACAGGCATAACAGCAACTTGCAGTTGGAAAATAATTTCAATTGTTATGAATTCCTCAGAAGTTCCAAATATTTTTCAAATACAAAGCATTTTTTTCCTTTCATCAGAACCAGAATAAATTAGAAATAATGGCATCACAAAGTAATCAAGAAATCTATTCTTAAAACTATTTTACGAAAATAAACTCAAAATTTGATTTTTCTCTTTTAGTAATTATAAGAACTTCATCTGCTACTTTTTCAAGGGTTTCAGATGGAAAATTAAATAGAAAATTCAACGCTAGAAATAAAATAAAATAGGACCTGCGATTGGGCAGCGAGTTGAGATTGATGATCTGGAACCGATTCATAGATGCGTTTCCGTTGCTCAAATACCACGATCCTGTCAACGCGGTTCCGAGCGCGCACCAAGCAAACGCTCCTGCATTTTCATCAAATATCACAAATTAGAAAATATAAAAATAATTACGGAAGATATTAAGCCTTTTGTCATTTTCTTGGATTGGGAACCTGAGCGAGAACACTGATCATTGTGAGAAATTTGGCTTCGGAATTCAAATTCTGAGAAATTTAGCTGTACTTTCTTAATTCAACTTTTTTTTCCTTCTTAAAATGTCCAACACCATGAAATGTAAAGCCCAAATTTAAATTGACCGAGATCCATTAGGCTTTTTTCTCGGGGTAAAGACATGATGATGTGATGTACATGATCACAGCAGTATATGATCATCGAAATAGGCTCTGCATGATTTGTTTTTTAAAGGTGGTATCCATGTTTGAACTCTTTGTTTATCCTAATCACTTGTTGGAAAACCGATCTTGTATTCTTACAAAAACATCATTTGTTTCGAAGGCTAAGGATTCAGACAGGATCGTCGATTTCATCAATAGAACCTTACAGGCCAAACCAATGCTTGGTGCAAAACAAGTAGCGATTTGACATTGAAATGTGTGCATATTAGACCCAGACACCATCCATGAGAAACATCGTTGAAGAGCTTGAACAAATTAAAGAGACAAATTGGTGGTTTGCAATTTGAACCAGGCGAGGAGATTGGGGCTGTAACACTGGGGAGCGATCTCTTTAAATAAGCTCTTCCCAGCCATTTGTAGTAATCATTCTTTCATTGAGTTTATTGATTAGTAGCACCAATCTCATTATAGACAAATTGATCTTATGAAAGAAATTAAGCAAAACAAAGTCGTACATTTGATTTTTTTATTATTTTCTATTAGGAACTGTTTGAAACCTTCTTTCTCACTTGAAATTAAAGATTAATTTGATTCAGGGCTTTGAATTCAAAAGTTTGCCAAATCATAACCCATTCAATAGTTAAAAAGAATGTTATACTCACTAAAAATTATTGGTTCGAGTAACTGCGTTTGCAGGGTTGATGTGTGTTGTCAATTAATTAAGAAAGTTTTGAACAAATACTACCTTGTAATCATCCTAGACAAGTCCAAAAAAAAAATATAGCAAACCGAAAGCCTAAATGTGTTAAAAAAAAGTTGAGAAATACCCATTTCCTCATTTTTCTCAAATATAAAGTATTGAAGTGTCAATGTTCCAAACTTTCTAATTCAAACGACCTTTAATGTGCCAATCTAGAGAAGATTAAATCTCAAGTTCTATGATTCAGCTGAGCTATAATATCCCACACACTGAGACAGCTTAACTTAGAGTAACCTCAAAACATACGTCAAGTAAACCTCATCTATATTCCTCCGGAAAACTATAGCCAGTCAGGACAATTTTGTCTGCAAACATCTTTCCAGTCTTCGGCATGACATGCCAATGCAATGTCAAGTTGAATTTTTTGCCACGGAGATATTTTCCCTAGATAAGGAAAGATTAAAGAAAAATAAATAAAATTCTCAATTGCAGGAAAGCCCTAATAAACTTGTTTAGATCTATATGAATAACAAGCAAGCTACTTCGCCATTATGCACACACCTGATCAACAAAACGATACTTGTTTGAGGTGTGGATCCAAAACTTTGCATGCACTTTGGCAGGTATTATAGCATCCCAAAGAGACACCTATAAAATACCATGTGAAAAAATATTCAAGGAGCTAAAAGATTTTTGAGTAAGACAATGACATAAATGCCTTACCTGATTCAAGGAATTCTTTGGGGTGTCGTACTCAGCTGCTACAAATATGAAAAGCTGTTGATCAACAAGGAGATGATATTTGAAATCAGCTTCAAGACGATGAATGATTGTGAGAAAAGAAAAACTGACAGAAAAAGGGAGGCCTACAAATATCACCACCACATAAAATTGAAAGCATTTGAATACATCAGAATGAAATTCTCCCCGAAGTCCATTGTGAGAAGGATTATCTCATGCACTGATATATATACAATGGACGAAGCAAATGAGATGAAGTTCTAAAAATGTAAAACATAAATTTCGCAGAAGAAGAAAACCTGTTTTGTGTTCCATGTAAACAATGATTGCAAATCAGCCGATATATTCATCGTCAGGCTCACCTACAAAAGTCAAAAGCATTTACTTAGAACTACAGCAGAAAAATAAGAGAACACTAAACAAATGAATAGATTAAATGAAGGGGGCGTGGGAGAGGAAAATGATATCCCTTGGCAAGCAGTGACAATATCAAACACAATTTAGTTTGCGTCAAGAATCGGCATTACAAATGAAACATAAGGTAATGGAAACAATAATACCTCATCATTCGCCTGTGGCTGCTTCTGAAACCAATTTATGTTCATAACCTACGGTCACACCCAACGAAATAGAAATCAGAGATAAAAACACAAAAGAATCCAAAAGGGTCTACGAGAAAAAGAACAAATAATTGATATAAACACCTAGCCAAATATGCAAATGTGAGAAAGATAGACCTGGATTTCTGCAGAGGGAGAACGAGAGTTGAGGTTGTCCGAGAGAGATGCGATGGCACACATTATAGCCAGAATTGTCACGGAAAATGTTAGCAGACCATTTAATCTGTACCCGAAAGAATGCATGTTTTCCTCTCTTTTTTAACTTTGTTCAATCTACTGCTTCTCAGCTTTCAGTTAATTCCAGTTCCTCTGTTTACTAGAATTTAAGTATAATGAACCAAAAAAAGATAAATAAAATCTACCAAAACTTCCCTAGTAATACTACACATCCACGTATAATATTCCATGTTAATCCTTCATAAATCTACGTTAAGAAGGAAACAACATTCATCACCCAGGGAAAACAAAACCTTAAAATCAATCATACTGGGGTTTGAATTTGTGGTGTCAATCAAGAGCAACAGGATAAAACTTAAAAGAGTAAAATCACCTATAGTCGAGATCAACGAAAACGCCAAAGACAAACAAAAATAAGAAATATATATAAAATGAAAAGTAAAACAAAAAATTCTTTTAAAAAAAGAAAATGAGAAAATGTATACGATACAAAAACAACACCGAGATATATATACAAATTGGACAGTATTCAACGAAAATTAAAAAGGTTTTTTTGCAAGCAAAACAAAACTGAAATTGAGGAAATTAAATTAGATCACTGATTTAGAAATCTGAAAAATCATTGAAAACAAAAGAAAACAGTTCAATGAAAATCAAATAACAAAAGATAGGCAAATCTTACCCAAAGTGAAGGGAGAAGAAAGGGAAAATGCAGAGAAACCGGGAAGAAAATGAAGTGAAAGTGAAACGGGGTTTGGCAATGGGTTGTAGCTTTTCCTTTTACTTTTAGTGTAAACTACAAGATATGTCATTCAACTATTAATAATATTATAAATTAGTCACTAAATTTAGAAAAGGTACAAATGAGTCAAAATAAACTAACATTAAATTAAATAAATTTTTAATTTAGTTTTTCTATTATTTTTTATCGTTTATGTATTATCCCTTTATTTTTTAAAATTTTTAACAACTTTACTTTCATGACACATTTTTTTAATCTTTTGGTATATTTTTGATTTTTTTTGATCATTTTGACTATTTTTTTATTTAATTTTTTTAGAATTGTAATTTAACAACGCGTCGAATGATCAAAATAACGCTTATTTGTTATCATAATTATATTTCTTACTTAGGATTCTCATATTAGATTTGGATAATCGATTTACATTCAGTTATAGCTTTTTCACGAAGCTTGACTTTGATTTGCAGATTTCGACGATCTTTCAATAGTTTGATATCATGTTGTGGTTCGTTTGTTGATGTAATCACATCTATTTGTATATATCTTTTATTCTACTTTTTATGGAGGTTTTTTTAACTTTTTTATTGTATAGTAATTGTTTGATCTCAAGTCGTTGGTTTTTTACGTCAATGATTATATAACTATGTCTTAATTATGTGTTTAATTTATATTTCTGATTGTAAATTTAATTATGATTTTGGATATTTCCTCTTTTCAAATAAAATTAACGACTTTTATTTGTATAAAAAAAATTAGACGAAAATGCATTATATTCTATAATATAAGTATCCGAACAATACAGTCCAAATCCATAAAGCTTATTATATAAATCAGATTTAAGTCTAACAATTTTTCTCAAATCGGTAAGGTTTATTGTCTTTTTTTATAATTCAAATTAATATATGAACTTAGAAAAAAAATTGATATATGTGATTAAGAATGATAATTTTATTTGACCTGGATTAATTGTTTTTATTTGGAGATCGACGTAAATTAAGTTGTTTCTTTTAGATCGGGTCAAGATTAAATTTAGGTAAAATCATTTTCTTCTTGTTTGATATATTTATTAAAATATTTTTTTACGTTATGTTTTTTTAAAATAAATTGAATATTTTTTTACGTTATGTTTTTTTAAAATAAATTGAATATTTTTAGTTTTTGTAACGGAGATTATGATTAAGACATGTTTCTATTATATCGGGGTTAATTTATGTTTTCATTAACAACAACAACAACAACAAAATCTTATTCTCATATGTAATGGGGTAAGGGGGAGGTAGGGTAGTAGGCTGCCCCTAACGCATGGTTGAGAGCAGCTTCCGTGGAAGACCTCTGGCAGTCAGAAAATTAAAAATAAAGATAAAATACAATGCATGTATAAATAAATAAATAAATAAATACATATTTGAACAGTCTTCATATACAATCTTCATATGCGCTTCTGTAATGGGAAGTAATCCATGCTAATAAATCCCTGCATAATAATCTCTGTATATAGACATAAACGTAAGATCTGACTAAAATTAAAAAGAGAAAAATGAAGAGAATGATACTAAATTTAGTCTCGAGTTGGAGAGATTAAAAACTCATCCTACCCCACCTCGTTGAGTCGTTGTTATCCCTATATGTGATTACTTGAAATTTCAATAATCAATTAAATTATTAATATGATATTTTTTCATTATAGTATTGACATTACTAAGAGTTATATGTCATAATTTAATTAATTGCTTAAATATTAAAATAACATTCAATATCATTTTTTAAATTTAGATACTAAATTGATTTAAAATTTTTTTAACCAAAACAAAAGTGTCATCCTCTTTATTGCCAAAACCAAACAAAAAAATAAATAGTTCTTGGGAATCAAAATAATGTTGTACAGCTTTGGACCATAAAACTAAAAGATAATAAATACATGAAAGTAAAAATTGTGGCCAGTCATTCACATTCTCGGGGGGTGTTTTTCTTAAAAAAATCATCGGTGATCGATATATTTATCGATCTAATACCGTTCAGATTATATTTTTTGATCTAATACCTTTTGTAATAAGGCGCCCCTTGCATGGCGCTATACACTGATTTGGCGTCACGTGGGATAAGATGCCCCCCTGCGACGTGCCTTATGCTGATATGGATACACGTGTGTATAGCGAGGCCCTTGGGCCGCGCCTTACGCCACGTAGGATATAGCACGGGTCAAGGGCTGCGCCTGACCTTTATAATTATATATAGCGCGGTTCAGGAGCCACGCCTGACCTTTATAATTATATATAGTGTGGGACATGTACCGCATCTTGTATAATTGTTAAAACTTTTATCGGCTATAAATATCCTTCTCCCCCGAGTTAAGTTCCTCACATCTCTCATCTCAACTTATAAATTAATACAACAATTTCGTCAACGAGTCAATAATTCTGACAATTTTCTCATATTTTATTCAGAAGTTCGTGCGATTTTTCATTATAAGATAATTTTGTGATAAATTTTTATTATATTTATTGTTTATTATGACTATTTGAAAAAATATTATACTAATTGTTGTTAATTAATTTATGTGTTTGTAAAATTAGAAAGCGATAATATACGTCGATATAGTTTTGTGGTACATGTAATAATATACAATTATATTATTTAAATTATTTACGTTTATGTGTAAAAAATTTATTCTGTTATATTTTCATTCATATATTATTTATTTAATCAACATTGTTTCAGTTTTTTTTACAGATATAATATTGTCGCACTTTTAAAATCAAAGAATTACGCAACTTTCAGCTATTGTTTATTATGATGGTAAAATTCAAGAAGATGAAACTGACGTTGTTTTCGTATCAAATGAGCGTGTTAAAATATCATTTAAGAGAAACATAACTCTTGAGGAGCTGATAACGAAGATTTCGAGGAAGATTCATGTTGGAAGTAGTAGAAGAATGTCGTCGTTGCAGTACAAATTTCCAACATCATTGTTGCTATTAACTTATACAACGTTAGAACTTTTGAACAATGATGATGTTGAAATGATGGTTGAAGCTCAAAGTAATTATTCAGACGCCGATATTGAGATGTATGCAAATTTTATTCAAGTGCGTGTCGTTCGGAGTTAATCATTAAGCTCCCATTATGGGCTGACTGAACAAGTTGACAGCCCGACGACAGTAATGTGTAATGATTTTAATGCCATAATGGGGAGACATTCATCCACAACTCCTTATGATATGTACCGAGGAGGGTCAACGAACAATCCGTATGGCAACATCGCATCCAGTTCAAGGGGAGGACATTCATTTGCAAATCCGTTTGACCTTAATATGGAGATGCCATCGACACAACCATCTGTGCAATTTCCATTTGACACAATGGCTTCAAGCTCTAGGGGGAGGTATTCGACTGCGAGCTTTTTTGATCTCAATGTCGATATGCCTTTTAGTTCAAAGGGAAGGAGTGCAAGTAGTAGGTTATTCGACCTAAATATGGAGCGCATGGAGGAACCATCATCTCCACCAAAAGAACCGCTTCGTGAGCCTGGTGCGGATGATGCTGAGACTGGACTATTCATTCACCAAGAATCACCGCAATTCAACTCCGATGATGATGAAGTTCCAAGAAATGTGGAACAAACTGACCCTACTGAACACATGTATGAAGTTGATTATGGTGCAATGTAAGGGCCAGAATTTACGGATATGCCTCATCTCGGTTACTATGAATATTACTCATCAATAAATAATGGTGAGTTATCTTTAGGCATGGAGTTTTCAAGCAAAGAAGAAGCGGTGATGGCTATAAAAAATTATAATATCCGTAATTCTGTTCAGTCCATAGTCAACCGATCCACGACCGAAAAATATGTATTCTACTGTGCCCGATGCGAAAACGGATGCAATTGGATGGTTCGCGTATCGAAAAGGAAGAGGAAAAACAACATATGGGAACTAACAGTATACAACGATCCTCACACATGTTGTGCTGGAGGGGCCAACCAAGATCATCCCAACTTGGACTCTGAAGTGATATGCCAAGTCATCATGCCCATGGTAAAAGCAAGCTCTCATATAGTTGTTGTTGTGCTGATTTCAGCTATACAATCATAGTATGAGTACACTGTCTCCTATAAAAAAGCTTGGTTGGCAAAACAAAATGCCATTGTCAAACTTCATGGCGAATGGGATGCATCTTACAACGAACTTCTAGGCTGGTTTAGGTTGGTGCGGAGGTTGAATCCTGGGACAATTGTGGACTTCGAAACCTCTTATGCATACCATAATGATCTAGTTCTCCGCGATCAATGCCAATTCTACCGGGTTTTTTGGACTTACCCACAGTGCGTTAATGATGTCAAATACTGCAAGCCTGTGGTCCAGATCGACGAGACTTTCTTGTATGGAAAATACAAGCAAGTTTTATTATTGGCAGTTATCCAAGATGACAATCGCAACATTCTTCCAGTTGCTTTTGCTATTGTCGAAGGAGAAGATACAGATTCTTGGGCTTTTTTCCTCTGAAATTTACGTGCACGTGTTATCATGAGGGAAAACATCTGTGTCATTTCAGATCGCGGAGATGGGATCAAAGGAGCAATGGAGTCTTTGGGTCCAATGTGGCAACCACCCTTGGTCCAACATAGGTATTGTCTCCGACACATTGCTGCGAACTACCATGGATCAGATCCGTAACTCCTTATGATATGTACCGAGGTGGGTCAACGAACAATCCGTATGGCAACATCTCATCCAGTTCAAGGGGAAAACATTCATCTGCAAATCTGTTTGACCTTAATATGGAGAGGCCATCGACGCAACCATCTGTGCAGTTTCCATTTGACACGATGGCTTCAAGCTCTAGTGGGAGACATTCGACTGCGAGCTTTTTCGATCTCAATGTCGATATGCCTTTTAGTTCAAAGGGAAGGCGTGCAAGTAGTAGGTTATTCGACCTAAATGTGGAGCGCATGGAGGAACCATCATCTCCACCAAAAGAACCGCTTCGTGAGCCTGGTGCGGATGATGCTGAGACTGGACTATTCATT